CAGGGACACACTTACGTCTATGGGGTGGAATATGAGTTCACAGCCACTGCGTAATCTTCATGCTCACAACGTACCATGTGCAGTGTGCATGGCAGTGTCACGATGTTCTTTGCTCATGATACCTGCTAAAACTCAGTGCTCCACCAACTGGACCACTGAATATGTCGGCTACTTGATGTCTGCATCCCAAAGTGATCACACCCTTCCAACAGAGTATGAATGTGTTGACAAGGATCCTGAGTCAGTTCCAGGACTAGATGCTGTTGGATGGTACTCAAGCTCGGCCATTTTTTACCACGTTGAAGCCTCCTGCAATGGAATGGCCTGTCCTCCATATGAAGCTGGGAAAGAGTTGACCTGTGTGATCTGTACTCGTTGATTGCCCAAGTACAACCTGACTAAAGCTATAAGTAACAAATATTCGACTATTGTATTTTATAGTTAGTCTGTTAGAGAATTCTTTACAATGTATAATCTAAAAACAGTTGAAGTACATACATATGTACGTACATAGTACATACGTAAGTCAGGCTTATTAACAGTTGGAGCACATGTGCCAAAGGGTTAGGGTACTTGGTTTGTAAGTCTGTTTGACGGTCTGTCCTCTGCTTCTCGCGCTATGACACACACAACAAAGGATGCTAGATTGTTGAGTATGATAAGGGAGATAAAAAAATGAAAAAGCAGTTTTCTCTACAACCGCTTACCTAAAAAGTTACGTAGAACGCATTATGTTTTCTACGGTAGCTCCTTTTCACAACTGACATGGATACATTTTTTACTACGTACGTGCATGAGCCATTAGTAGAGAAAAGATGGTAGATCAGGGCGGTTAGTAGGGAATGTGATGCACAGAGCACATGTAAGGGCATGCAGAACTTATGTTTGAAAAGGAGGGTGAGAGTTTCTAGCCACAAGATTTTGGTACATACTATGTATAGGTTTGATGATGGCAAGCAGCGGGAATAAGAGCATACTTGCCATCATCAAACCTATACTTGGTATATGGTTCTACAGCACAATGTCTGAATTCCCTATAAGGAAAGCAAAGTGGGCATTGATTAGGGTCTGCAGTTGGTGTTAGTACAGCTAAGTGGGTGCTACTACTGGGCAATAAATCATACCCTATAATGCTCCATAGCTGGGGTAACATATATGTATTATGCCAGAATGGCTCGCATGCAAGAGTGGCTCTAGCGCGCCCCTTAGTACACATGCGCGCAGAAATATACTCAGACCCGCCCAGCCTCGCCTTAGATCAGCGGGAATAAACCGTCCTCGTAGCCATGGCTCGTAGCAGCGCAGCGTACGCACCTGTGCAGGGTGGAAAGTTAGTGCCAGGGGTGTAAACTGTGTTGGTTGGTTGTGTTGTTTTGTGTTGGTTGGCTAGAGGCATAGGTTACCCTGCAGACTCTGCAGAAGGCTCGACGTTGTCGATAGCGAGGTGTTTGTGGTGTGACGGCGCACGGGCTCCACAGCACAGTGCACAGTTTCAGAGGAAAGATGCATTGCCGAAGAGTTATTGTTTTGCTTTGTTTTATGCAGCTCTTAGTCTGCTTCAACCCGTTCTTCTCAGAACGACCATCTCCAACAACTGTATCTGCTCCCACACAGAAGACAACTCAAGACTGGGCTCGTCTGGAATGATTACAGAGATTTATTCTCAGCCCAACATTTCCTATCCATATTTTACGGGTAGCAGCACTGCATTCTACATATACACTATAGTATGAGCCATTCCTGCATGCTGCTTATACAATACAATATGAGCCATTCCTGCATGCTACATCTAGCGGCGTATATGTCTTGTCTGCGGAGTAGCCGGTAAAACTTAGATCTTGCTTGCACTGAGTAAAGACTGGGAGGCAGGAAGCAAGGTGTTGGCAGGCCGTCACACGCATTACTGCTGGACTTGCGTCTCCTCCTGCTCCTGGATTCACACGGCCTTAGGTAATAGTCGCTCGCACGCCGCCCTTACTCTCTCTCTCTCTCTCGCACGACGCGCTTACTGCCTCAACAGGCCGAGCACTTATTGTTGTGCGGTCAAAGGTCAGCCGGCCGGCTGAGCCATTCTTGCATGCTACACATATACCAAGTACCTCAGAGAACACCTGATGGTTTGAAGAGGCAGATAGGTAGAACAAATGAAACAAATTGTTTAATGGACAGATTCGGCAACACCCATTGTCTACAACCACAGGTCTCTCCTTGCAATAGTATTTGCTATATATGGAGGCTGTGAACTACGATACTGCATCCATCCTCATTTTTGCATGCATCGCAGACTATAAAAAGCAGGTGCCGATTTTTTATGCAACAGATATCACCGTTGCATTCTCTTCAAGAAACGACTAACAAAAGAGAAGCTGAAAGATGTCAATCAATGTATACTGTTATCTTACAATGCTTGTTATGCTCTCGAGTGTTTCACAAGGTATATACTGTAAGAAAGGATGAAGTTGTAAAAAGTTTCTTTCCATCCTCAATTTCCTTACGTCAGGCTATCCCCAGGAGAGGGAGAGGAGGCAGAGCGATGGTGAGAGCTCCTGTCCACAAATAGACCACAAATAGAGCTCCTCAGCGGAAGAGATGGAAGAGACGGGAGAGACGGAGCCTGTGGTCCTCCAGGAGAGAAAGGAGAGCAGGGAGAGAGAGGAGAGACGGGCGAAAAGGGAGATCCTGGAGCTGCAGGACCTATTGGACCACAGGGACCGGTTGGAGAGAGTGGGGGACAAGGACTGAGGGGACCACGAGGACCACAAGGACCACTAGGACCTACTGGAGAACATGGAGCTGTTGGACCACAAGGACCACAGGGACCGAAAGGAGAACGTGGGTTTCAGGGGATGGGAGGACCAGTGGGACCTCAGGGACCACCAGGACTTCTGGGACCAGAGGGACAACCAGGGAGGGTTGACAATTGTGGACAAACCTATGTTAGGTGGGGGAGGACCACTTGTGCCGAGAATCAAGGAACTGAACTGGTGTATTCAGGGAGAGCTGGAGGGAGCTGGTACAACAGGAATGGTGGAGCTACCAACTATCTCTGCATGCCTGATGACCCTGACTACCTTCAGTTTGATTCTAGTGTTCAGGACCGCAACTATGTCTATGGGGTGGAGTACGAGGCATTTGGTTCACAACCACTGCGTAATGTCAATCAACACAACGCACCATGTGCAGTGTGTATGGCAGTGTCTCGATGTTCTTTGCTCATGATACCTGCTAAAACTCAGTGCCCCACCAACTGGACCACTGAATATGTCGGCTACTTGATGTCTGGACATCAAAATTATCATTTCCTTCCAACAGAGTATGAATGTGTTGACAAGGATCCAGAGTCAGTTGCAGGACTAGATGCTGCGGGATGGAGCTCAGGTTCAGCCATTTTCAACCACGTTGAAGCCTCCTGCAATGGAATGGCCTGTCCTCCATATGAAGCTGGGAAAGAGTTGACCTGTGTGGTCTGTACTCGTTGATTGCCCAAGTATACCTGACTAAAGCTATAACAAAACATTTCCATTTCGATTGTTGTAATAAAGACAATTAATTCTAAAATGTGTCTGTTAGAGATTTTTTGGGTAAAATCTGTCAATTTGGTGAACCAAGCAAGCGTGTAGCGCATAATATGCGAACGTTCGTATGTCAGGCTAGCTGCACCAGTTGGTGGCAATGGGTGTAACGCTGGATTGAACACTCATCCTCAAAGTAGCGTAATGACTCTGAACTGCCAAAAAGCTGTCGATGTACAAACCATGCTCATTAGATTATTGGCTGAACTGAAGAAAAAAACAGTCCGAGTACGTCCGTTGGTACATAAGTCAGTCTCATTAACCCTTGACGCACATGTGCCAAAGGGTTATGGTACTTGGTTCGTAAGTCTGTCTGATCTGTCTGTATGGTCCGTCCTCTCTGCTTCTCGCGCTATGACACACACAACGAAGGATGCTAGATTATTGAGTATGATAAGGGAGATCAAAATGATGCTGTTTTCTCTACAACCGCTTATCTAAAAAGTTAGAGCGCATTATGTGTTCTGCGGTAGGTCCTTTTTACGACTGACATGGATACATTTTTTTACTACGTGCACGAGCAATTGCATGGCCATTAGTAGAGAAAAGATGGTAGATCAGGGTGGTTAGTAGGGAATGCAGTGCCCAGAGCACATGTAAGGGCATGCAGAACTTTTTTTTAAAAGGAGGGTGAAAGCTTCTAGCCACAAGACTTTGGTACATACTATGTGATAATGGCAAGCAGTGCATACTTGCCATCATCAAACCTACTTGGTATATGTTTATCTAGCACAATGCCTGAATTCCATATAAGGAAAGCAAAGGGGGCTTTGATTAGGGAGTGACTCAGACTGCTGCTGTTGGTGTTAGTACAGCTAAGTGGGTGCTCTTACTGGCCAATAATATAATGCTCCATTGCTGGGGTAACATATACCAAGTACCTCAGAGAACACCTGATGGTTTGAAGAGGCAGATATGAGAAAATTTGCAAATTACATTAATGCACTGGAACAAATTCTTTAATGGACAGTTTCAGCAACACCCCAACACCCATTGTCTACAAACACCACAGGTTTCTCTTTGCATAGTGTGTACTATGGAGGATGCACAATACAATATTGCATCAGCCCTCTTTTTTGCATGCATCGCAGACTATAAAAAGCAGGCGAAGATTTTTTTATGCAACAGATATCACCGTTGCATTCTCTTCAAGAAACGACGAACAAAAGAGAAGCTGAAAGATGTCAATCAATGTATACTGTTATTTTACAATGCTTGTTTTGCTCTCAAGTGTCTCACAAGGTATATAAGAAAGGATGAAGTTGTAAAAAGTTTCTTATCATCCTCAATTTCCTCATGTCAGGCTATCCCCAGGAGAGGGAGAGGAGGCAGAGCAATGGTGAGAGCTCCTGTCCACAAATAGAGCTCCTCAGAGGAAGAGATGGAAGAGAGGGGAGAGATGGAGCCTGTGGTCCTCCAGGAGAGAAAGGAGAGCAGGGAGAGAGAGGAGAGACGGGTCAAAAGGGAGATCTTGGAGCTGAAGGACCTACTGGACCACAGGGACCAGTTGGAGAGAGTGGGGACCAAGGAATAAGGGGACCACAAGGACACACAAGGACAACCAGGACCAACTGGAGAACATGGAGCTGTTGGACCACAAGGACCACAGGGACCGAAAGGAGAACGTGGGTTTCAGGGAGTGGGAGGGACCGGTGGGACTCAAGGACCAGTGGGACCTCTGGGACCAGAGGGACAACCAGGGAGGGTTGACATTTGTGGACAAACCTATGTTAGGTGGGGGAGGACCACTTGTGCCGAGAATCAAGGAACTGAACTGGTGTATTCAGGGAGAGCTGGAGGGAGCTGGTGGAATAAGACTGGTGGAGCTACCAACTATCTCTGTATGCCTGATGACCCTGACTACGTTCGGTTTGATTCTAGTGTTCAGGGACGCAATTACGTCTATGGGGTGGAGTATGAGCCATTGGGTTCACAGCCACTGCGTAATGTTCATGCTAACAACGCACCATGTGCAGTGTGTATGGCAGTGTCACGATGTTCTTTGCTCATGATACCTGCTAAAACTCAGTGCCCCACCAACTGGACCACTGAATATGTCGGCTACTTGATGTCTGCAGCCCAAAGCCATTCCCTTCCAACAGAGTATGAATGTGTTGACAAGGATCCTGAGTCAGTTGCAGGACTAGATGCTGCGGGATGGAGCTCAGGTTCAGCCATTTTCAACCACGTTGAAGCCTCCTGCAATGGAATGGCCTGTCCTCCATATGAAGCTGGGAAAGAACTTACCTGTGTGGTCTGTACTCGCTAAAGTTGATTGAACCTTCCATTACCTCATAACTGAACAAACTTTCTTTCAGTAAGCAGCTTCGATTTCCTACAAACGTGATGTTAGGACATTTCTGTACCTGTTGTTCTACATGTAAAATACTGCGTATGTACATTGTAGATATGTATGTAAAAATGTTTTTGTGGAGCCGCAAATTCAGTGACAAGGCAATGTTTAGCGCCATGTGACACTATTGCATTAAATTATGCACTTCTGGCGCGGGAAAGCACGAGGAATGCACGGGTTGAGTACGCCTGTCACATTCCTCGGCCAAATCATCAAATGTGGACTCAGAGGGGGTAGTTGAGCTCGTAGTAGAACCTTCCAGTGAGTTTAGCGAGTGAAAATAGGCTGTTACTAGCGGTGGAGTCAGCCCTGCACCTTCTGCACTCCACACAGAGGCCATAGCTACAGAGCGCACGTGTGGCGCATGCGCACTGTGCCCAGTGCTGAGGAAGGAGCTGGAACCGCGATATTGACTCCCGACGCCCAGAAGAACTACATGTCGTCGTGATTGGTGCCATAGCGCCAAATCTGCACCCCAGAATAATGGTACACACGTGTACAATACACTACTCTAACAAAACGAGACAAGTAGAAGTGTATGTATGAACTGTACATTTCACTGAATGCACATAATACATACGTACTATAGTAATGGTGAGGGAGCACAAGCAGTTCAATATATATATGTTATGTACTACGTGCGCGGGAAAAAGAAAATCAAGATATCAGCTATTTTGATCAACATTTTGTACAGATCATGTTTTGTGGGATACATTTCTTACATGAAATGCTGTAAAATAAACAGAAAAAGGTTTCATATGTTTTCATGTTACTTTTGTTAGCTCACGAGGTTCATATGAGAAATCAGGAACCTCGTACTAACAAATCTGATTGGTCAATTCGAATCAGCTATGCACTAAGCGTACTTAGAATCACGTAGAACATTGCAGTATGTGCAGTGCCTGTCACCTACAATATAGAAATTCCCGTATCGAAAGGACTAGTAGGATCGCTTGGCTCGCCAATTACCACAGACAATTGACACACTACAACTAAGATGGCAGTACCATCAATAGTGTGGTAACCCAGCAACCCGTATGTGACACAGGTTGATTGCTCTTTCTTACATAAGTGTAATACGCATTACATCTCAGATGAATTGTTATGAACACCACATACAGCAAACTCCATTTAACTATGTACATACATTTATATCTGGGAATCTTTAGTAATTAAACCGCAGACCTTTAAAAAACAGACGTGTAGGCAACTAAGGCTGCTATAATATTATAGCTGAACATCAGAACTGATTGTTTTGGGGTGCATATATGTACATGTATGTAAGCCACAGGTTGAGTAAAGCCTACTGCAATGGCCTAATTGTTTAATGGGTTCTCAGAGAGCTAACATCAACTACCATAGAGGTTGAGTAAAACCAGCATCAATGACCTTTAATTAGCCAAATAGATCAAACAAATTGTTTAATGGATTCTCAAACAGCGTTCATCAACAACCATTCTCTATAAGAATCTCTATCCCACCAATTGCAAGACTCTCTTTTTGCATGAATCACAGACTATAAAAAGCAGAAGCCGATTCTCTCTGCGTCAGTTAGCACTGTGGCTTATTTTTTGAAGGAAAGGACATAGAAAAGAGAAGCTGAGAGATGTCACAGATTTCCTGCAAAATAATATGCAGTTCTTTTGTAATGGTTGCTGTGCTCTCAACTGCGTCACAAGGTAGGAAAGGACGAATAAACATTAAGTACAGTTCTTTTTCCTCATGTCAGGCTATCCCCAGGAGAGGGAGAGGAGGCAGAGCGATGGTGAGAGCTCCTGTCCACAAATAGAGATCCTCAGAGGAAGAGATGGAAGAGACGGGAGAGACGGGGCCTGTGGTCCTCCGGGAGAGAAAGGAGAGCAGGGAGAGAGAGGAGAGGTAGGAGATGGTGGACCTCCAGGAGCACCTGGACCTCCTGGTCCAGTGGGAGTAAGTGGACAAAAAGGGACCCAGGGACAACAAGGACCAGTAGGAACACCAGGATCACCCGTCAATTGTGGACAAAGCTATGTTAGGTGGGGGAGGACCACTTGTGCTGAGAATCAAGGAACTGAACTGGTGTATTCAGGGAGAGCTGGAGGGAGCTGGTGGAGTCAGACTGGTGGAGCTACCAACTATCTCTGTATGCCCAATGACCCTGACTACCTTCGGTTTGATTCTAGTGTTCAGGGACACAACTACATCTATGGGGTGGAGTATGAACCAGCATCTGGGCAACCACTACGGGTACAGCCTGATGTTCATGCTCACAACGTACCATGTGCAGTGTGCATGGCGTCTCGATGTTCTTTGCTCATGATACCTGCTAAAACTCAGTGCCCCACCAACTGGACCACTGAATATGTAGGCTACTTGATGTCTGGAGCACACGATCATACCCTTCCAACAGAGTACGAATGTGTTGACAAGGATCGCAGTCAGTTGCAGGACTAGATGCTGAGGGATGGGGCTCAGGTTCAGCCATTTTCAACCACGTTGAAGCCTCCTGCAATGGAATGGCCTGCCCTCCATATGAAGCTGGGAAAGAGTTGACCTGTGTGGTCTGTACTCGCTGATTGCCCAAGTACAACCTGACTAGAGCTATAACAAACATTTTGATTGTTGTATCAAAGACAATTTTAAAATAGTCTGTTAGAGAATTTTTTTGTAAAATCTATAAATTTGGTGAACCAAGCTAAGTGTGTAGCGCATAATATGTGAACGTTCTTACATGTCAGACTAGCTGCACCAGTTGGAGGCCAACTAGAGTAACGCTGATGCACACTTATCCTTAAAAGTCTGTAGCGTCATGACTCTACATTCACTGAACTGGCAAAAGACTGTCGACTGTAGAACATAGGTTGATAGTCCTGCTCATTAGAATATTGGCTGAACTGATACCAACCAGTCCAAGTAGACTTCCGTTCCGTCACCCAGCGTCAGCTAGCGTCGTATCGTCAATTTGTGAACAGCGCGACGGATTGACGTGCTGTCAGCGACGGAACGAAATGCTGGAGTAGGATTGAGTTCTACTCCACCGTCAGGCTGCCAGCGTCTGGTGACCTCAGGCACGCACTCTGCGTCGTTCGGTGTAACTGGTTGTGCGGGCAAGTTTTGTGCCTGCATAGAAGCTACGCACGTACGCCCGAGCATTTAGCTCACTGATGACCGCTTTTGCAGCTTAGATAGACCTACCAGTCGAATGTTCAGTACAGTAGCAGTGCTAGAGATGATGTAACGCCAACTAAGAGCTTGAAAATCCATCTCTCTCCCACAGACAGTTGGCGATTCACCTCGGAGAACGTGCGGGATCCAAGGTCAGAGTTAAAAAAACGTGGACGAAAACGCCAAATTGTGAACAACGCAACGAAACGAAACGAAATGACGGTAGATGGAACGAAACCAAAGTCTAGCGTCATATTGTGAACCAGGCTTTGTACGCATTACATCTCAGATGAGAGGATTGCACTATTCGAACATCACATACAGTAAAACTCCATTTAACTCTGTACATACATTTAGATCTGGGAATCTTTAGTAATTCAACCAGAGGACCTTTATGAAACATCTGTGGAGCAATCAGACACAAAAAGGCTGCTATATACAGCTGTGTTAGCTCGACCTCATAATTGATTGTTTTGACTTCACATAACTATGTGTGTAGGTCAGAGTCAAATCAATGAAACAAATTTTTAATTGATTCTCAGACAGCTTTCAATCAACAACCACATTCTCTGATACAAATCTCTATCCGACAAATAGCAATTACTATGGGACTATAAAAAACACTTTTTGCATGAACACAGACTATAAAAAGCAGAAGCCCATTCTCTCTGTGTCAGTTAGCACTGTGGCTTATTTTGAAGGAAAGGACATAGAAAAGGGAAGCTGAGAGATGTCACAGATTTTCTGCAAAATAATATGCAGTTCTTTTGTAATGGTTGCTGTGCTCTCAACTGCGTCACAAGGTAGGAAAGGACGAATAAACATTAAGTACAGTTCTTTTTCCTCATGTCAGGCTATCCCCAGGAGAGGGAGAGGAGGAAGAGCGATGGTGAGAGCTCCTGTCCACAAATAGAGCTCCTCAGAGGAAGGGATGGAAGAGATGGGAGAGACGGAGGCTGTGGTCCTCCAGGAGAGAAAGGAGAGCAGGGAGAGAGAGGAGAGGTAGGAGATGGTGGTCCTCCAGGAGCACATGGACCTGCTGGTCTTCCTGGGCCTCTGGGCACAGTGGGTGTGAGTGGACAAAAAGGGACCCAGGGACCACAAGGACCAGGAGGACCACCAGGACTGCAAGGACTACAAGGACCACAGGGACCACCAGTCAATTGTGGACAAACCTATGTTAGGTGGGGGAGGACCACTTGTGCCGAGAATCAAGGAACTGAACTGGTGTATTCAGGGAGAGCTGGAGGGAGCTGGTACAGTAAGACTGGTGGAGCTACTAACAATCTCTGTATGCCTGATGACCCTGACTACCTTCGTTTGATTCTAGTGTTCAGGGATACAACTACGTCTATGGGGTGGAGTATGAGACATATGGTTCAGAGCCACTGCTTAATGTCAATCAACACAACGCACCATGGCAACTGGACCACTGAATATGTCGGCTACTTGATGTCTGCAAACCAAAACTTTGTCCTTCCAACCGAGTATGAATGTGTTGACAAGGATCCTGAGTCAGTTGCAGGACTAGATGCTGCGGGATGGCATTCTGGTTCAGCCATTTTCGAACACGTTGAAGCCTCCTGCAATGGAATGGCATGTCCTCCATATGAGGCTGGGAAAGAGTTGACCTGTGTGGTCTGTACTCGCTGATTGCCCAAGTATACCTGACTAAAGCTATAACAAAACATTTCCATTTCGATTGTTGTAATAAAGACAATTAATTCTAAAATGTGTCTGTTAGAGAATTTTTTTGGTATAATCTATCAATTTGGTGAACCAAGCAAGTGTGTAGAGCATAATATGTGAACGTTCGTATGTCAGACTAGCTACACCAGTTGGTGGCAATTGGAGTAACGCTGGGTCCAATCCTCAAAGTAGCGTAATGTATCTATGATTCGCCAAACCATTTGAGGAATATAGATACATAGATAGGTTAGTCATGCTATTAGCATGTTGGCTTGTTTCATTATCTGACGCAGTAGATGAAATTGCCTTTGCAATATCGATGATGAGTCTGTTGACCGCCTTAAAGCTTGCTGTGGCAGAATAGCGATGCACCCGGATGCAGGATGCAGATTGACACACAGGGGGAGTCCGAGGGGAAAACCCCACTTCCCCACAAGAAATCTTTGCTGGAGTAATAGTAGCATTCATGCAATCACTAGAACGAATGCCACGCATATTTTGGCAAGGGAGCACAAGCAGTTCAATATGCATACTTAGAATCATGTAGAGCATTACGGTATGTGCAGTGCCTGTCACCTACAATATAGAAAATTCTCAGACAGCTTTCAATGAACAACCACATTCTCTGATACAAATTCTATCCGACAAATAGCAATTACTATGAGACTATAAAAAAACCCTTTTTTTTGCACGAATCACAGACTATAAAAAGCAGAAGCCGATTCTCTCTGCGTCAGTTAGCACTGTGGCTTATTTTTTGAAGGAAAGGACATATAAAAGGGAAGCATAGAGATGTCACAGATTTTCTGCAAAATAATATGCAGTTCTTTTGTAATGGTTGCTGTGCTCTCAATTGCGTCACAAGGTAGGAAAGGATGAAGAAACATGAAGTGGACGCTAGATTATTGAGTATGATAAGGGAGATCAAAATGAAGCATTTTACCTAATGAAAAGCACTAAGAGTGCAAACCCTCGGCGAACTGCGCATGCGCGGTACAGCTAATTGATGGGCTGGGCCTATTATACTAGTATACGTTTACTCCCGCTAGTAGCTCGCGGAGAGTCTTACACGGGCTAGCTACAATAGTAGATAGCATGCGGGAGTCGATACACGCCCTTCGTTGTGTCTTCTTGTGCCTCCGAGGTACACAGGTAAAGCGGATCAGGTCGAGGTAAGCTAGTGCTAATTAGCATATTGGCTTGTTCACTTGGTTTTCACGCCATAACTTCTGAACGCGGCACTTTTACGAAAATCGCCATTTTAAAAATCAAGCTAGTGTAGCGCTGAACCCGTTGGTGTCGCTATTTTACCTGTTTGTTGCGCGTGGTGGCAGAAAACGTGGTAACAGACGGACAGACGGAGAGACAGACGGACAAACCAAGTACTGTAACCCTCGCTGCGCATGCGCGCCGAGGGTTAAAAAGTTAGAGCGCATTATGTGTTCTGCAGGTGGTAGGTCCTTTTCACGACTGACATGGATACATTTTTGACTACGTGCATGAACCATTGCATGACCATTAGTAGAAAAAAGATGGTAGATCAGGGCGGCTAGTAGGGAATGTGGTGCACAGAGCACATGTAAGGGCATGCAGAACCTTTTTTTTTTAAAGGAGGGTAAGAGCTTTCTAGCCACAAGATTTTGGTACATACTATGTATAGGTTTGATGATGGCAAGTATGCTCTATGAGCGCAGCAGGAATAAGAGCATACTTGCCATCATCAAACCTACTTGGTATATGTTTGTCTAGCACAATGCCTGAATTCCCTATAAGGAAAGCAAAGTGGGCGTTGATTAGGGAGTGACTCAGCCTGCTGCAGTTGTTGTTAGTACAGCTAAGTGGGTGCTACTACTGGCCAATAATCCATAGCTGGGGTAACATATACCGAGTATATACCTCAGAGAACACCTGATGGTTTGAAGAGGCAGATAAGAACAAAATTTGCAAATTACACAGGAACAAATGAAACAAATTCTTTAATGGACAGTTTCAGCAACACCCCAACACCCATTGTCTACAACCACCACAGGTTTCTCTTTGCATTAGTGTGTACTGTGGAGGATGCACAATACAATATTGCATCAACCCTCTTTTCTGCATGCATCGCAGACTATAAAAGCAGGCGCAGATGTTTTCTGCAACAGATATCACTGTTGCATTCTCTTCAAGAAACGACTAACAAAAGAGAAGCTGAAAGATGTCAATCAATATATACTGTTATCTTGCAATGCTTGTTTTGCTCTCAAGTGTTTCACTAGGTATACAAGAAAGGATGAAGTGTTTCTTTTCATCCTCAATTTCCTCACGTCAGGCTATCCCCAGGAGAGGGAGAGGAGGCAGAGCGATGGTGAGAGCTCCTGTCCACAAATAGAGCTCCTCAGAGGAAGGGATGGAAGAGACGGGAGAGACGGAGCCTGTGGTCCTCCAGGAGAGAAAGGAGAGCAGGGAGAGAGAGGAGAGGTAGGAGATGGTGGACCTCCAGGAGCACCTGGACCTGCTGGTCTTCCTGGACCTCTGGGTCTAGTGGGCCAGAGTGGACAAAAAGGGACCCAGGGACCACAAGGGCCAGTAGGACCACCAGGACTGCAAGGGCCACAAGGACCGCAAGGACCACCAGTCAATTGTGGACAAAGCTATGTTAGGTGGGGGAGGACCACTTGTGCTGAGAATCAAGGAACTGAACTGGTGTATTCAGGGAGAGCTGGAGGGAGCTGGTGGAGTCAGACTGGTGGAGCTACCAACTATCTCTGTATGCCTAATGACCCTGACTACCTTCAGTACAATTCTGCAGTTCAAGGGGGTAACTATGTATATGGGGTAGAGTATGAACCAGCATCTGGGCAACCACTAAGGGTACAGCCTGATGTCTATGCTCACAACGCACCATGTGCAGTGTGCATGGCAGTGTCTCGATGTTCTTTGCTCATGATACCTGCTAAACCTCAGTGCCCCACCAACTGGACCACTGAATATGTTGGCTACTTGATGTCTGGAGGCCAAGGTCATTCCCTTCCAACAGAGTATGAATGTATTGACAAGGATCCTGAGTCAGTTGCAGGACTAGATTCTATTGGATGGGGCTCTGGTTCAGCCATTTTTAACCACGTTGAAGCCTCCTGCAATGGAATGGCCTGTCCTCCATATGAAGCTGGGAAAGAACTTACCTGTGTGGTCTGTACTCGCTGATTGGATAAGTACAACTTGACTAAAGTTATAACAAACATTTACATATCGATTGTTGTATCAAAGACAATTATAAAGTTAGTCTGTTACAGAATTCTTTTACCATGTAGAATCTATAAATTTGGTGAACCAAGCAATTGTGTGGCGCATTATACATGAACGTTCGTATGTCTGGCTATAGCTGCACCAGTTGGAGGCAATGGGAGTAACGCTGGATTGAACACTCATCAGGAGAGGGAGAGGAGGCAGAGCGATGGTGAGAGCTCCTGTCCACAAATAGAGCTCCTCAGAGGAAGAGATGGAAGAGATGGGAGCGACGGAGGCTGTGGTCCTCCAGGAGAGAAAGGAGAGCAGGGAGAGAGAGGAGAGGTAGGAGATGGTGGTCCTCCAGGAGCACCTGGACCCGTTGGTCTTCCTGGGCCTCTGGGCCCAGTGGGTGTGAGTGGACAAAAAGGGACCCAGGGACCGCAAGGACCACTAGGACCACCAGGACTGCAAGGACCACAAGGACCACCAGTCAATTGTGGACAAACCTATGTTAGGTGGGGGAGGACCACTCCAGGAGAGAAAGGAGAGCAGGGAGAGAGAGGAGAGGTAGGAGATGGTGGACCTCCAGGAGCACCTGGACCTGCTGGTCTTCCTGGACCTCTGGGTCTAGTGGGCCAGAGTGGACAAAAAGGGACCCAGGGACCACAAGGGCCAGTAGGACCACCAGGACTGCAAGGGCCACAAGGACCGCAAGGACCACCAGTCAATTGTGGACAAAGCTATGTTAGGTGGGGGAGGACCACTTGTGCTGAGAATCAAGGAACTGAACTGGTGTATTCAGGGAGAGCTGGAGGGAGCTGGTGGAGTCAGACTGGTGGAGCTACCAACTATCTCTGTATGCCTAATGACCCTGACTACCTTCAGTACAATTCTGCAGTTCAAGGGGGTAACTATGTATATGGGGTAGAGTATGAGGCATTAGGTTCACAGCCACTGCGTAATCGTTTAGCTCACAACGCACCATGTGCAGTGTGCATGGCAGTGTCTCGATGTTCTTTGCTCATGATACCTGCTAAAACTCAGTGCCCCACCAACTGGACCACTGAATATGTCGGCTACTTGATGTCTGCACAGCAAAACTATGCCCTTCCAACAGAGTATGAATGTGTTGACAAGGATCCTGAGTCAGTTCCAGGACTAAATGCTGTTGGATGGAACTCAGGTTCAGCCTTGTTTGACCACGTTGAAGCCTCCTGCAATGGAATGGCCTGTCCTCCATATGAAGCTGGGAAAGAGTTGACCTGTGTGGTCTGTACTCGCTAAAGCATGCACAATGTTTCATCACTACTGTAACGTTTATGGACAAAGTTCTGTGAACTGTTAGTTTTGTAGTTTAGTACCAGTGAATATGTGAAGATGTCGAACTGCGAAAGATATTCATTCATGATACATGTACGAATATTGAACTTAGTGCGGTCCAAGTACTGTAAGAGAGATCTCGGTTATGAAGTGATTTTAGGGAGGGTTGGTAAACAGGAATTAGTGAGAGATGACACATGGCAAGAGGTGTTCGTCGCTATGCCCATGGGACATAGTCTAGCCAAGCCAACATTTGGAAAGCTTGCACCAAGTATCTACAGCCCACCATGCAATTGCCCACCACAATGGTAAAGCTAAAGATGGTAGGCAGTAAGTACATATGCTTGTGAGTGCTTTGAGTTATACGTAGTTATCATGAGCATGCTGAGTCTAACTACAAACCTGTCAACCCAAAGATGTCTGTGCAAATAAGTAATGTAACTGCCCCTACAATCCATTATAATATCCACAATGCAGAGGATTAAGAGTATACACGTACACAAACAAACATAGATTTTCTTTCGATTCCAACAAAGATAAGGTCATTTGTTGGAAGATAGTTTGTTGACAAAAGGAAACATACTATAGTAGTTGTGGTTGTCGGAAAATATCTCAATTTCATTACAAGATCCCATGTAACCACATTATTTAGAAGTAGAGTTGAGTTATGTTATTCCAAGAAGAGTTTCACACAAAGTATACATAGCTTCAATCTACAACGGTGAAGGAGGTTCCAGCCAATTTCAGTCTTGAATGACATAGAAATTGTTACAATGGCACACAATAAGTAGCCAACACCTTTCCTAATTGTTTAATGGACTTATTAGACACCATTCACATTGCTATTGACTGCTTCATAGATCATTCCTCCCACCTGATATTCATTCCCAGGTGAAAGAGAGGTGTGGGAGTCCTAACAAACATCAATGACCCAAATGAGGAGTAATTAATGACTCAATAGAGTCACAAAGGGAAAAGCGCTGAACTAAAAATACATTGGGATGCTATAAAAGGAACACAAATTATTTCGGTCCATTCTCTGAGAAAGGACAGCCAAAAGATGTTAGGATACCTTTGCTGCTCTCTCACTATACTCACCTTGCTTTCAAATGTTATGGAAGGTATGAGTAGACAACTAGCAATGGCACAGAATCTCTTTATATTAATTTTCTTCCAACAGGTTATCCCCAGGAGAGGGAGAGGAGGAACAGCGATAACGAGAGCTCCTGTCCACAAATAGAGCTCCTCAGAGGAAGGGATGGAAGAGACGGGAGAGACGGAGCCTGTGGTCCTCCAGGAGAGAAAGGAGAGCAGGGAGAGAGAGGAGAGGTAGCAGATGGTGGACCTCCAGCAGAACCTGGACCAGTTGGTCTTCCTGGGCCTCTGGGTCCAGTGGGTGTGAGTGGACCAAAAGGGACCCAGGGACCACAAGGACCACTAGGACCACCAGGACTGCAAGGACCACAAGGACCACAAGGACCACCATTCAATTGTGGACAAACCTATGTTAGGTGGGGGAGGACCACTTGTGCCGAGAATCAAGGAACTGAACTGGTGTATTCAGGGAGAGCTGGAGGGAGCTGGTGGAGTAAGTCTGGTGGAGTAAGTCTGGTGGAGCTACCAACTATCTCTGTATGCCTGATGACCCTGACTACCTTCAGTTCAATTCTGCAGTTCAGGGGGGTAACTACGTCTATGGGGTAGAGTATGAACCATTCTCTGGGCAACCACTGCGTAATGTCTATGCTCACAACGCACCATGTGCAGTGTGCATGGCAGTGTCACGATGTTCTTTGCTCATGATACCTGCTAAAACTCAGTGCCCCACCAACTGGACCGCTGAATATGTCGGCTACTTGATGTCTGGGCATCAAACTTATCACATCCTTCCAACAGAGTATGAATGTGTTGACAAGGATCCTGAGTCAGTTCCAGGACTAGATGCTATTGGATGGAACTCAGGTTCAGCCCATTTCGAACACGTTGAAGTCTCCTGCAATGGAATGGCCTGTCCTACATATGAAGCTGGGAAAGAGTTGACCTGTGTGGTCTGTACTCGTTGAAGATAATTGAACCATCAGTATTATGAACTTCAATACGAACAGCTTCCTTTCAGTAATCAGCTTTGATTTCGTAGAAAATAGCATTTCTGTACCTGTACTGTACCAGTTGTTTACATGTACATACATATCAGTGGATAATCAGTGAGCAAGGCCGAGCTGCTAACGATGTTCGCATATATGTATATAAATACATTCATAATGTCACACACTACACTGGACAAGTACAAGTGTACTTCGCTCTTTGGCTAATTATACATACTGTACAACATGAAAGCCGTAACGCAATACAGTTGAATGAACCTCCCCGCTACCAAGTTAAACACTCACTAACTCCAAATGTACAGTACATCAAATGCATAAACTGGTAAGCGCCCTCCCAACTGTGTATATACATATATACATTGACTAACCTGACTCCAAACTCATTGAGGAGGAACTGCGCCACGTGGTAGGCCACGTCGATTCCCACCTCGTCAGCCAGGGTCGCCATGCCTACCGGGAACCCAAAAGCCTTACTGAACTTGTCCAGATTTTGAGGACCTGGAGAACCACACGGAGCCAGGAAATCTTTCGTCTGATCGTTTCGTAAGCAATGCAAAACAATGCAAGATTTCTAGTGGAGCAACAGTCTAAGGAATATTGAAGTACAAACTTTGCCAAATTGCTCCATAGCCTTTGTGCAAAGGTAAAGGTCCTAATGTTGCATGGGCAGCTAATGTACTAAACAGGAAATGTGGAATATTAGCCTATGCATGTTTTGGCACGTGTACGTGTGGTAACTAGGAGTTAGTCTGATTAACCCTCGGCGCACATGCGCAGCGAGGGTTACAGTAGTTGGTTTGTCTGTGTGTCTGTGTGTCTATGCTTATTCTGGCACTACAGGCTACGAGGCGGTCAATTAGCGATACAAGTGGCTTCAGAACTATGTAACGGGTTTAAACCTACATGTAGTGTGTGCCATTTGGTCACCAGCAGTAGAAATAGAAAGTGAGTGAAAGTGAAAGTGAAAGAGGTAAGAGGCAAAGAAAATGAGAGCCTCACTGAGTCCCTCCTGCAGAAGACGGACACACTCTGCCAACATGGGAGCCAGGATTCTAGTGGTGTAGAATCCAGGACTGTCCTTCACCACTATCACCGTCTTACCCTGCTTCAGACCTACGTCTACTGCTAGGGCTGAGGAGGGAGGGAGGGAGGGAGAGGTAGGAAAGAAGAAGGGTAAGGGGGGAAATAAAATGGATAAATAGACTAAACGGTACAAAACAAATCAGCATAAAGCTAGCTGGAAATGCGATGAAATATTAGTGGAAAAACTGTGTAATAACAGACTCCTAGAACCAATGCAACACATTTCTGGTGGGGGAAGCGAGCAGGTCAGTGATTTGTGCATTTTACCACATATAATCACGTAAAAATTATGATATTTGGAGTTGGTTCACTGCTACAGATAGTTACTGCACACTAAAAAAAATCCGCATTCAGACAACTGCCAATACACAGTTTCTGCTGCACAAACATGGAGCAGAGACCTAAACCGTGACTGACCAGCAGTTTCTTTTGAGGTCTTGTCGGTGGTGATGATCTCCAGGAGTGGCATCTTATCCACTGGTGAGAAATAGTGCATCCCTACCACCTGTCAGAAAGATAACAAAACTAATGGAGCATTGTATAGTATATACGTGTACACATGCATAGTACACCATCTTATGCACAAGTTTAAAAAGGGGGAGAGAAACAAAGGAGTGTGAAAGGACGAAACTAAAATGTGAACAACATGCATATGATAGTGTGCTAAAGCTAACAGACCTAAGGTTTGCACATTCACATTCCAAACAAGTCATTGAGCAAAATCAGAAACTATGTATTGACCAATCAAATTGCTCGATTCAAATGAGCTATGCACTAAACATGCATAGTGTACTAAAGCTAACAGACTTAAGGTTTGCCCACGATGTGTGCCTGTACATACTGTACATACTAATACATTAGAAATGAAAAGCACTAAACTGCAAACCCTCGGCGAAGTAGCTCGCAGAGAGTCTGACACGGGCTAGCTACAGTAGTAGATAGCACGCGAGAGTCGATACACGCCATTCGTTGTGACTTCTTGTGCCTTCAAGATAGACAGAGCAAGCGGACCCGGTCGAGGTAAGCCTGTGCTACAATATAAGCGCATGCGTATTATCCGCCAGCAATAAAATGGCGACTACCGGCATTAGCAATACAATGCTGGAAGCGCTCTAGCTCTGCAACAGAGCATTTTCAGAGAAAACCCCACATATTTTCTGACCTTCGTCGCCCGTTGGGTAGATGGTATAGTTTCTGGGACGAACATACATTCCAGAGGTGAGATGTAGAGTAACAGACAGACAAACCCAACTACAGTAACCCTCGCTGCGCATGCACGCCGAGGGTTAATAAAAATACAGTATGTAGCAGTGTATGGCACTGTACTGTGAATGTGTTTCCAACCTTCTCTGGTCTCTTGCTGACAGCAGCTATCTTGGCAATGGGCAGAGCCGAAGTGTTGGAGGCAAACACACAGTGATCAGCAGTCGCTGCCTCTGTGGCTCTCAACACCTGAGGACCATCGGATCAGAGAGGAGTAACTGTAGAGCCAGGCTCTAGTGAGTTCTGAAATCTACAGCCCAAGGGCCCACGGCTTTCTAAATCCGAGTACAGTTTCCTCCAATTGGCGTCTAACTTAACTTATACATGTAGAACCAGTAATACGGTTTCCATTAAAAATTAGCGACCTTGTAATGTACATACATGTATTAACATATATACAGTGTGATTACATACATACTGTACATAGTAAAATGGTTGTATAGGTCTTGCGTCATCCCTTCATTATACATTCTACTAGTGTGTACTTAGGAAGGAAGAGGAAGGCATCGCAATAGAGCCAAGGAAATCTCACAAACTGTATGCATATATACGTATGTTGGTGTCATTACCTTGTGTTTCAAGTCAATGTCCTCAAAAACGGCTTCAATCACCATGTCAGCCTTCTCAAACCCCTGAGGTAAAGACAGGTATGTACAGAAAGGTGATCCGCAATCACAGCTAAAGTAATGTGGGCAACAGAGAGAGAAGTTGTGGTATGCTCTGCTGATGAGGGCCAACAAGCCCGAAACAGCTGTCCAGAGCTCAACATCTTTTTTCTCTTGGCATCACATGGTTTTTTCTAGATACATATATTCAAGACACACGTACATACTGTACGTAGTACATTTGGCAAGCAAAGTGAGCAGTTTTAATTTTCTGCACATGTTTCACACAAATTTAAAATCACGTACAGTATCTGTATTCAGATGACTTGGCGAGCTTGTTTCGCTCACCAATAATGCTATTTGGGAGACACACCCACCTTGTGGTCCAGCTGGGGAGAGAGTAATGAGAGGGTGTGGTCTCGTTCAAAATTTGTCATCGCCCTCTTCTTGACACGACCATTTAGACTGCAATTATACAACACAACACACTGTACTGTATATACACCCTGTCACTCTTTTTATCTCATCACAATAATTGTGCACTAAACATACCATAATATGCACATAAATGAAAAGCACTGAAGTCTGGTGCCTCCGAAGTACGCAGAGCACGTGGATCGATCATGCCGTAGTAAGCTGTTGTGTATTTGCATATTGGCTTTTTCGCGCTCTAGCTTTGCAACGGAGCGAGGGTTAATTAGCTTTACCCACATTATTGTTCACATCATCACTCCTTTTTTCACCACTGTGCATTTATTATGCACTACCTACCACACAACACACGAATTAACCTTGCCCACCGAGGAAACTCTATCCCACTTCACTCCCTTTTTCTCTCCCTATTATACATATATCACCCATTCCCATACTCTCTCTCTTCCCTCTATTGTACTCTCCACCACCCACCCCTTCCTCCATTTTTCTTCCTTTCCCCATTCCATCTTTCCTTCCTTGCCCACTCATTCACCCTGCCCCCCTCCCTCCCTCCCTCCCCAACCTCCACTCACCCTTCATAGACTCTCTGGTAGCCTCTGTTCAGAGCAATCTCATCCATGTCCTTCAACACCACCCGATATCCCTTCTGCAGACTCACCTACAGTGTGTACACACAGCATGCAGTAGGATGATGCTCCACAGTAATTATAGGAGGAACTGGGCTGGAGCATTTTCAGTCACACGTCGGTTAATTCGTGACAACGAAAAGAGAAAAGCTTAAGAATAACTCTCTAAGGGATCCAGGGAACTGCATGCACACTAATACATACACACATATACATACAGGCCCATTTTCAATTTGGCATGCTTTCTCTGAATTACACACGACTGCGGAAGCACAATGCTACATACGTAATCTTATTTCATATAATAATTATACGTTCAGCCAGACTGTTAGCTCAGCATGTAAAGTGTACTTGTTTGCAATATGGTGTCTGACCGTCAGTAATGTGCATGCACTATAGTACATCTATACCAAACTGCAAATGTGCCTATTGTGCGACTACATACATAGTACATACAGTACGAATGTAATATAAATAGTATACCTGTACAATGCCGGCACCCATGAGGCCACCTCCCAGTACGGCCAGGGTCTCAGCCGGTTTGGCAGGTTTACCAAACCTGTTTTTCTTGCACTCATTCTGTGTGTATCATAGCAGGAGATATATAGTGTAAACCTTCGGAAGACAGGTTAAAACCTTCACAAAGTGGTAAGTGGTTGATCGCAACAAGTTGTAATGCGTTGTGTAACTACCCTACATTTCTGCCTTAATTTATTTTGCCTTAGGAAATAATTATGCGTTACAGTCAACTGCAGGTTGCACTATATATCGTGCCAGAGGCCCACTTGCAGTCCTATTTTTACTGCAATTGTAAGCAAAAGTACTGAAAACCCCACCTGTCCAAAGAAGATGGATCTGAGTGCCTTTGACTCACTGCTCATCCCCAGTTCAGCAAACCCCTACAGTTCAATGGCACACAAAAATAACGAATAAGAGTGAGACTCTATACACCACACACAACATGGTATATACCTGAGACTCAGCTTCATAGCCTTCCACTGGTCCTTTCTCCAGACCAGCACGAATCACCTGAACAATCATCATTTATACAACTGCAGTATTGTTGTATGCGTCTATACATTCGACAACAAACATACGAAACACAAGATGCACAAAATGTGTTATGTATGTACCTTTGAGCGAAATGACACAAGTACGTAGTACGCCGTAAGTAAAGTATGTGGTACAACAGATCACACGACTTCCGGGGCTTAGGTGAAGGCGAATAGACTTTAGTACTAGTAAGTCTGAAACAGTGGGTATGACAGGGTGAGAAATGCTGAGATTATGAAACAAGGATTTCCAACTGGAGGACTGCACCACGTGGACTTTGAGATGCCAAAGCGCAACAATCGTAACTTTTTTTACTATGTAGCAAAAACTCCACAGACCTCCATGATCTTGAGAGGGGAAGGGTAGAGACCGTTGGTCATCTTCATGACCTTCTTCCTGGCCTGCCCAAACACATAGTTCCTGACGTGGCGCTGGTGGGTGGTGAGGTTGAACTGCAGCCCCTTCATGTTGGTCCACTTCCTCTCTCTGGTCGGGAGGGAGAGGGCTCCTGACGCCAGGTTCCTGGGAGGGTGCGGGGAGGGAGAGAATGGATCCAATGAAGGAGGGAGGGAAGGAGGATAATATTGTGTGAAAGTAGATGAATTAAGGGGGAGACAAATATGAGAGGATGAAAAAGTGGCACTCCCGAGTCATAAAAATGGTGAAATTGATAGAAATTTTGAGGGAGGTTCCTGAGTTGGGTGGGAGAGAGTAAACAATAGGTGTGGCTGAAAGAACGCAATTATTTTTTTTCAATTTCCATTTTAGTAACAGTTTCTCAATTTACATATATACACATTCCCTGTAAGGGAGGAGATGAAGCAACATTAGCTAACCTGGCCACACCCACTGCGACATCCTCCAGGTATTCAATGTTCCCCTCCTCTGGTGACTTTAAACCTGGCCCTGTGGACAGGATTGTGATAGTATCAACAGATATACATGTCTCAACATTTTGGTAACGAGGCAGAAAGGTAAGGCAAACAAGTCAACTACACCCAGGACAGCTGTTTCCTTTCAAAGAAAAGAAGAGCTGCCCTGGGGAGTTCGAAAAGAAACAGGTGTCCACTCAGATTATAACCCACGACACTCTGCAGTCTAGGCGAGCGCTCACCAACTGAGCTACCAGGGCAACTCACTAGGGGTTAGAATCTTCAACACAACACAGGCACACCTCAAACCACTGTGCTATGGCACAGTATACTCTCACTCAGTATGTATTATATGTAGTAATCCCCACGAAGTTGACATTTGAGAGTGAGCTATTTTTTTGTGTTGAATCAGCAGCCTTGTGATCATTACATAATCATGCACAATTTAGTTTGTATACACTTGCAACATCCAGGGTGCATTCCACATTCTCTCCGGATCCCACAATTGCATTTTTGCCCCCTACCAAGCCTCCATTACCTAGAGGGTCCACTCTTGACATGTACATATTATACTTACAAACACCAGGCATGCACAGAGCTTCGTATCCCCCATCAACCATTACCTAGAGGGTCCACTAGCATGTCAACCAGGCCCCCAATCAACCATTACCTAGAGGGTCCACTAGGATGTCAACAAGGCCCCCCATCAACCATTACCTAGAGGGTCAACTAGCATGTCTACAAGGCCCCCCATCAACCATTACCTAGAGGGTCCACTAGCATGTCAACAAGGCCAAGCTTCTTGGCTTTGTCAGCCCTGACGTTCTTCCCTGTCAGACACAGGTCCAGAGCATCTGGCAGTCCAATCTGATGGAGAGAGATATGTGCTTCATGTTGTGATTTGAACATCTTGCTTCAATTCTACTAGGCATTGTACATGGGGTGGTTTTCCTGCATAATCTGCACACTAGTAAACCAAGTGCTTGCTGCCAATTGGAGAAAAGTTAAATGGAATGCGTCAGTACATACAAAGTAAAGACTAAATCTTGAACTTAACAAATAGGACCTAGTCAAGAATGCATTATGTACGTTTCTGTTTTTAGACCAAAGTTTTCAGAATTTAGCCCTTCATAATTATACTGCCACATTCCCTTCAAGCAGCTCAACCACTGAGGTCTAGCCTCCAAAGAAACCCTCGAACACCATACATATCCCCCCACACACATACACACACCAGTGGGAGCTCAGCTGTATGATAGCTGAACTATAGAGACTGTGTGTGTGTGCTTGATACTGTTAGGTCTCTGTAACTGCACATACAGTAACCAGTAGTGTGACGTGTTCTGAGACGGGACAGACCAGTTTGGGGAGCCTCTGAGTCCCGCCAGCTCCAGGCAGAAGTCCCAGCATCACCTCGGGCACTCCCAGAACAGTCTTGGGGTGTCTGGTGGCTATTCTGTAGTGACAGCCGAGAGCCACCTAGTAAGAGAGGAGAGAGAGGGGAGGGAAAGGAGGGTGGAGAATGAAAGAGTGTACAGTGTTTCAATGAATATGATATGCTGTGGTCTGATATAAAAGACCAGGCTGACAAAGGGTAAGAGGGTTTGGTGTAAGTTGAAGAGTAAAGATGCAGAAAACGTAGTACGTGACAACAAAGAGGTAGAAAGGCAAGGAAAAGAAAATAAGTCGCTGGTGAGCATAAAACGTATTAAAAACCTTTTGAAGACAAGATAATTAAACTGTAGGTTAATGTGCTACGAAAATGAATTTAACGAGTGACACAGCATGTGATACATCACACATTAGGTTGCTAGCCATAACGTATGTATGTACTTGTAACCTGACTAAGGCTGGGTTCAAAATAGTACATTGCATGACTTTGTTGCGTCGCGCTGCGAAGAAGTAGAAAATGACTCTATCCTCGCCACGCAGCCCGTGGAGATGGGAAATGGGAAGTATTGTGATTAAGGCTGGGTTCAAAATAGTACATTGCATGACTTTGTTGCGTCGCGCTGCGAAGAAGAAGAAAATGACTCTATCCTCGCCACGCAGCCCGTGGAGATGTGGAAATGGGAAGTACATTGTGACCAACCTCCATTCCTCCTCCGAGGCAGGAGCCATGGATGGCAGCCACCACAGGCTTCCCACTGTCCTCCAGTCTCTGGATCATAGCCTGACCTCCTCGGGAGATCTCCTTCAACTGGGGGGAGGAGTACGGAAGAAGGGGAAACAGAAACAGCGGGAAGAGCGAGGGGTGGGGACAACGTAGAGTAGGGAAGAAGGGAAGAAGGGAAGGAGAGGAATTTACAAGATGAAGATGTGTGGAAAAGTGGGTTAAATAGAAGGGGAGGTGAAAGGAGAGGAATAGAGAGCTGGAAGGAGAGGAGAGTAAGACAGCTTTACACGTGTCATGTGTCAACTACAGAGGTAGAAAGGCAAAGGCAAGGCAAACAAGTCAACTACACCCAGGACAACTCTTTTTTTCAGAGGAAAAAAGAAGAGCTGCCCCACGGCACTCTGCATTCTAGGCGAGCGATAAACATGTACACAACTCACCTCTTTAATTGACCCAGCCTTATCAAGCCAGCTGAAAGTTACAGAAAGAAAATATTATGTAGAGATGAAAGTGCAAAAAATCAACAGAGATTTACTTGACATCGGCTCCAGCGATGAAACAGCCTGGCTTGGTTGATATGACTACCACAGCCTGTGCTGCTCTGTTACCGAGGACTCCATCCATCACCTGCACAGCAAGGGAACACTGTCTTTATGGAATTTGCTAGCTAAAGGTCGTGACAAATGGCGATTCTTAATATGTGACGCGCACTTGTCCCTGAAAATACTAATTAGAACGCTTGGGACATTACTGACTGACAGTTCTATGAGCCACTCAGCTTGTGTATAGCTTGATAATTGAATAGCTTGAACAAGCTTGGTTATTTTTCAAAGGGACTGTGCAATTCCTGAGTTAAAAGGTAAGTCAGTGATCTTCAACTAAAGTGTTTTCCTCCATCACAAACATAGTACTCTATGTATGGCTATACAAATATTCTGTTACTTGTGAGTGGAACAGTATATACCTCAGTAACTTCTTTACTGACTTCCTCTGACAACACATTGACCTGAAAACACACCAGGGAAAAAGCGAGGGAAAGAAGACATCATACAACGTACTGTAAGGCAGAAAAGGTTTAAAGGGAAGTGTTGATGGGTTTGAAGACCTTGTCAATCTGTTTCTCTCGTTGACAAGTTATGTTTCAAGAAACTGCCTCAAGTTTTTTTAAACCTCATTGGTCACCCAGTTTGTAATGAAGAACAAGAGGGAGAAGGAAGGAGCAAGAAAAGGGAGTATTGAGGGGCCATCTTTGGCCCTCCAACATACTGAATGGTGCATGGTGTTTGTACCCCACCTCACACCGTACTGAATGTGCACAAACTTGTGCTGTACACATAAAGAGTGGACACACTGTTCAGGTGTATACAGTATGTATGTAGGGCATACTGACTTTTGCTGCTAAACACCACACTACACACACATGGGCATTCAAACTATTGATGTCCCTTTATTCCTAACAGATCTCAATAGCTACACAATACTCACCGACTGTGCTCTACGGCCATTTGCATTACTGTATACCCAACACATTTTACTGAGTGAATGCGAGATTCACACATGGACGAGTTGTACATGTACGTGCAAGTTAACACTACGGTAAACAGTGCTCTCCGGTCCGGACATTTACACGTTTTTATAAGTACGTGTATATGTAGGCTCCCTTCACTCGTCAATATCTACCTTGTTGTCAGGAGAGTTGAGTCTGACAACCGCCACATTGTCCTTCATCACACACTCTACGTGCTTCAGATCTGCGAGAAAAAAAATCGTGACATTTTACATCATCATCATGAGTACAATTTTTCAGTAGCTAATTTATGATGTTACTTATGCTTTTTGTTTTACCTGGAAAGCGATCATTAGCACCACCATAGGAGTTAGAACACAGTTATAAGAGGAGCTAGGGAACAACGAGATGTTTGTTACAGGGCCATACTTACGTGAAGCTCCTGTCACGGCGCGGAGCAGTACATCTGGGTTTCTAAACAAGAGATGCGCCTAAATAGGGAACCATGAGGGTGAAACGTGCATTATATCAAACGCCCAGCTAGTCCAGATCAATATCTCACGGGAGTGCGTGCCAGCTAGACATCGAATAGAAGATCAAATCTACCAATGAGGTGTGCAATCAGTCCAGCCATCGCAACGGAGCCCGCAAAACGCTCGCCATCTCGTCAGATCCAGGAGCTGAGTGCAAAAGTGTGCACAGCGGCGCGCCGTTAA